AATTGAAGAAATACTAAAATTATATATTATGACAATTAAGTATAAGTATTCATATAAATAATTATGAAAGTATCAATAAATTGAATTAAAAATCATTTTTATATATTTTACAACTCCACTGAAATTTGTCCCTAGTTTTTGTCAACACCGTCAGAAATGAAAATAATGTAAAAAAAAAAAAAAAAAAATCAGGCATTATTGGGGGGCACCAGAACTTCTGAGGACCCCATGACGTCTTTTCTCTTCCTTTGCTAAGGGGGCTAGTTAGCTCTGGTTAGCTTATGTTATTCTTTAGTTTTTTCTGTTTTATTCCTAAGTTGCTCGTCGCAACCATGATGTGTCAACACCATAACTGACAATTTCAAAACTTTGATGACATTTTCTGAAATAAAAGCTTAATTTTGGTAAACTGTAAAGATTTCATGGACCCGACGAGCTACAGTATGGCCTCCTTCAGAATAACATCATATAAATTGAGATAGTTTGGCTTTTTGTCAGCTCCGTCAGAGTTTTTGTGACTCTTTCAGTGAAATTGTTGACAAATCTCACTTTAGTGTGCGATTAATTCATTTTAATGTATTTTACATAAATTGCATTACTTCAGACGTATCAAGTTTTTCATTTTACTCACTAGTTTGTCACCACCTTCAGTTCTGTGTCAACTCCGTCATGCACTGTCAACTCCGTCAGATGGATTTTTTTTTGTTTTAAATAATATTTATTTTGTTTCTTGAGAAGCATTTGTCTGTAAAATGAGTAAAAATATCACTAATAGGGTATTTTAAAAATCATGTTATATTTATTTTTGTCAGATGTTGACAAAGTTCTGGGTCAAGTCGATTAAAAATTTAATTAAAAAAAATGCAACTGGGAGCCTGCACCTTAGCATCTTTACATTTCCAAAACATTATTTGTCATATTTGAAAGTTGTTAAAGGAAATCTTACGCTTCTTGTTGTTTGTATTAATATATTTCTACTATCTATTTTTTGTAACAACTTCCTTCTTTTTAAAAAAATATAAAATGAAAGCGTATTACTGAACTCCAATAACAAAAGTAATAAGTGTACCCAGTTAATTATATGATCAGTGCACATATAAGATGCGTTGAATCATTTTTTCGTCGACATTATTTTATTTTTTTTTATTTTTTGGAGCAGTTTGTCTTTTTCAGCTCTAGATGTCGCTAACTCCCATGTAAAATTCATCATTTTTTGTGCGAGTGAAGGGAACATGCGATTATTTTTTAAAGCATTGGACGTAAAATAAGTTTTTTCCCCCGTGCTGTACTTTCTAAGCTAATATTACACTTACTACTTTATAAATAAAACATGACATCAATAATGAAACTTTAAGTGCCACAAATGAGTCAATTTTAGCTTTTGGTATTGATCATTTATGTTTGTTTGTTTGTTTTAACCAGATAGGTCTTTGCAGCAAGAGAAAATGGAAGTCATAGTCATAAGCCTTGCATTTTAATGTGTAACTGTTTCATCCTGTAGTTTTGTGAAAAATGGATGAGAATTAAAAGTTATATACCATATGAAGCTGTTGAAGCAGTGAAGTGTGTGATAAAAAATAAGCATTCTGCAAAGAAAAATTAAAGCCATGTGAAGAAACATGAGAGGAGTAGTTAGCTTTATACATCACTTTGTTGGTATGTCTAAAAGCAGGTGAATTATGCAGCCAAAGGTCGATATATATATATTCTTTGGAAACATGTTTTCCCCATTATCAGACATGAGGAGAAACAGATGCATTCTTGTAAGCTACTGAGAAAGGGAGGAGTCTTGATCCTTCACTTGGACGGACGGTGTGTTGAGAGAGATAAGAAAAGCCCGCCATGCCCCAACCTGCGCCTACTAATGCTTGTATATTTCTACATGCCTTACAAGGGAATAGAGGCCAGGACTGTTCTCACAGGTCACATTTTACAGACCTTACATAATCAGTCGTTACATTTTTCAACTTCTAAACCAAACCTGAAGATAATTTAAGCATTATGTATTAGCTAAATGGTGTGTTTCATCAGAATTATTGTGTTAAAAGTAAATTTTATGTTTTGGGACAGCTTTGGATAAAGTACTTTAAGTGTTAAAATAGAGGGCACAACGCTTTATGTTGCCTGGTAACAAGGCCTTTATGTCTGGGTGTTCCTCTGGTAACACTGGGTGGAGAGAAAGAAAGCCACTGTCAACACAGTTGTGGTTCAAAATGTGCGCCGGATTCCTTGGAATGTAACTATGTATTCGTGTGTGACGCAATCAGTCACAACCTCCTTTTGGAAAAAATGATCAGCTGTATCCATAACAATACTCAAAACTACAGAGAGTGACTCACACTCATTTTATTGGTTTATGTACTGTGAAAAGGGCAGATTAGTTTAAGGATTAAATCATTGCCAGTCTGACGTTTATATTAAAATAATTATGATTTTATTATTATATTTTGTTTTTCCACACACAGACATTTAAAGAACAGCTAATGATTGAAAGCGGCATGTTAATAGATTAGAGGTCACACCCAAAGGATTCCACTTTCTGCAATTGCAACATTTGGAGGAAAACTCTGTTTCATAAGGCTGATGAGGCCAAGGATGACTGGTGAAGAAAAAATATATATACCTTCCTGTCTTAGCCATCACTTACATGTGAATATTTCAATATTATTTCATTCTATTTACCTTGCTTTATTGATTTTATTCTTGACTGTAAGAATTCCTGACTAATTTGTGAGTAAAAGCAAAAACTTCCCCTTAAAGCCTGCAACAAAAACTAAAATTCTAAACATATCCAGACGTATTTTCCAAAATAAAGTGAATTACTAATTTCTAAAATTCAGCTTACAGATTTGGGGGAAACAATGTCATCAAAACTGAAAATTGCTTATGGGTTAGAGTCCTGTGGAGTTATATTTTTGTGAAAGTTATTTGTTTGAGTTTGGAGAAAAACAATAAACTATGAAAAAGTTTTCCATAATAGTATTAGAAACTTCCATAAGCAAACCAATTCTTTTATTTTGAAAATCTCATTGCTTCTGTCTATAGTAACTGTGTTTGACTTGACCAACAGAGAGACTATTAGTCTTCAGTGGGAGGAGAATCATTTACACAGTGAGGAGCTATTTACACACGTCGTTTCCACTGTAACGAAGTTGGACTGAGGTAGAGGCAGCTTTATCCGGATAGTTTGTATCTCCCTGTTATGGAGGTTTTACTGGACACCCGCAGACAGAGAAAACTCCTCATCCTGTACCTATTTATTGGGACTGTTGCAGGTCAGTAATACGGCACCGGCGATTTGATGTCTAGAAATAGATATCAAATCTAACAATAGATTTGATATTGTTGTACAGGCTATGTTGTCACCTATAAAAAGCAGTTTAAGTTTTATTTGCCTAATATCATGGTTACTTTGACAAATAAGAACGCCTTTATTTAAAAATAACCTAGACTTTAACAACTACGTCTAAGTCACAGTCTTAAAACAGATTTTTCTTTTAAACGCCACATATATGTTTTAGAATTTTACGTTTTAAGATTAAGCATATTAGAAATGTATCAATTTTGCTTAGAGAGAAGGCTTAGAATATAAAACGTTCACAGTAGTTTAGGGTGTGTACTACTACTATTATTATTCAAAACACCTAAGCCACAGCATACGACAAATAGACAATGTAGTACATATTTAAATTCCCATGGTGGGGGGAAAAAAACCTTTGCCTTTTACCTAAATTACATCCTCATTTACATGCTGCCTCTGGGATTGTATGATGTGCATATTACATACAAATTACATGTTAATATTTTTTTCCCGGTAATAAACCTCGTTGTGTTCACACAAAAATGATAATTTATTATTTAGCATATTAGCTAAAAATAAAATATTTTGTAGAAGCATTTTAAAATTACCAAATATCACAATAAGTTTTGTGTAGCCTGGTCATTGCCTTCCAACGCAATTCCGCTCGTTTCTAATCTCACTTCATTGCTTCATCAGGATTTTCTCCTATCGAAGTGGATTCCTCTGGAAGAATTTCTTCCGGGCCAATCAGTGAACAGAGGGAGAAGTTGTGAACAATGATATTTTCTGCCCTATTTTGGAATTGTAGTCTGCCTGAGTTTTAACAATGGCACCGGAGGAAGTGAACAAAGCCGTTATGTCCGTGTTTGCCACTTCCAAATATTGAATTAACATTAACAGTCCTCTAGTTCAGCTCAGCTGAGTTCCCCCCTTCACAGTATAGGATTGTTTACAGTGCTGGGCATTTCCGATAAGCCTCATAGAATAGAACTGGCGCATTACGTCATGGCCAAACGTAGCATGTGGGTAAAATTTAAAACTCAGGTCGAGTCCACACCTCAAGCAAGAAACCGTTTCTCAGTAGCTGAGAGTCCAGACTCTTTGTACAGAGTAAAGCAAAGTGTAGATCAAGGGGCTGTTTTTTCTTAATTTTTATTTTTATTTTCTCCTAGCGGAATGTTCTAAACCTGAACCTGGAATGAACATGGTTCTCACCGACGAATCTCTCCTAAAAAATGAATTCCTAGAGGGTTCTGAGGTCACATTACAGTGCAGCAATGGATATGAAAATGCAAGTGGCTCTGGGATCATGAACTGCATTGATAACAAGTGGACTGAGCCAGATCTCAACTGCAAGAGTGAGTCCTGTCTGACTGTCTTATTACATCTGATGAACACAGTATCCAATATGCTTTATGTGGTCATCTTGTCTCTATATAATACTACACTTACGTCTGTTTTGTGTCCGTGTGTGTGTTTTTGTTTTTATATCAAAGAGAAAGACTGTGGTTTGCCTAAAGCAGAGCCACACATGGAATTTAATATCAGCCAGGGTACTCTGTTTGGTTCAGTGGTTAAAGTAACCTGTGAAGAAGGGTATGTATGATTCCACATATTTAAATTTTGTAATTATTTGCTTAAATGCCATGGTGTTATCTCAGGAAATCAAGTGCATGCCTTGACTTGGAGCAGTTTGACTAATAGGAGTGTTTTTGTTGATTGCTGCAATACCAGCATTTCTGCACCATACAACAATCTGATATTTGTCAAGATCTCCATTTGGACATGTCCGCACATTTAAAAAAAATGTTTAGTCAACAAAATTTGTTAAAAAAAAAAAAAAATATATATATATATATATATATATATATATATATATATATATATATATATATATATAT